CTCCTTTTTTGGTATGTATGTATGTACCCTGTTTCCCCAAAAATATTTAAACACATGCACAGCCACCGCAAAAAGAGAGGCAGTGCAACACAGCAGCAGTCATGAGGTGACCACACTCGCTGTCTCCTGCACCTCAAAAATAATAAGACCTCCCCCAAAAGGCCAAGCGCTTATTTCAGGAGGCAAAAGAAAATAATTCATTCATTCAATTTCTATAGCCACACATCTCAGTCAATTACTCTAGGTGACTTACAATTCAAAAAAATATTAGAATTAAGGCACTGAAAACATTTTAAAACAATAAAAATATAAGAACATCCAAAATAAAGATACATATTAGCCAAGATACTTGGCTAGTTAGCAATACAGCCAGGAAAAGGGCCTTTGTCATATACACATCCCATAGCAGGGGAAGAAAAGGAAAAAAGAAAAAATGTAGGGATAGTATCTGGATAGTACTTGGATGACAGGCCATCATATTGACTGGGCTTATTTATCTGCAGAAAAATATTCTAGAAGACAGTGAAAAATCCACTCAAAAGTCTTGCTCCCCAAGTGCATAGACATAAGCATAAAGTTGTCAAGAGCTGAAGAAAGTTTAAAAACTCCAAAAGCTTCTTAATCATATTTGACATGTGTTGTTTATTTCCTGTAGCATTACCCAGAAGTTGTTATTTAATCAGTAAATAGCAGTTGTGAAAACCTACATTCTGCAACTATAGCCATTTATTTTTTTGATAGTAGAAGGCATGAAACTCACCTGATTTGCATGCTAAAGTTAAAGTGAACAGTGAATGGCAGATGGATCTCTTCTGAATTTTGTGATTGGATAATATTACCCATCTTTAGTCAAAACTGAGAAAGATTCTACTTGCCTGGTTTGTTTCTCTGTCATTGTGTTGTAATAAATACATTGTAGTGCTAAGAAGCATAGTTTTGTTTATCTGCTTCAGTGGTGGGTTCCGAATTCCGTTCCAACTGCTATGGTTGGAACGGCCCCGGCGTCACCACATGGCGCGTGCATGCGTTGTACTTGCCTGCGATGCTTTGGCAAGCCTCCACGACACTCCAGCTGCTTGTCGGAGTGTTGCGCAGGCGCCATATGCACCATGCGCGTGGCCAGAAGCGGGTAGGCCCTCTGGCACACCGAAACGGTATCCGGTGCTCCAGACAGGCTCCAGTATGCCCGTACTGGGGTGTACCTCCTGCAACCCACCAGTGATCCGCTTGTATACCATCTTAAACCTTGGGGAACTCTAGACATCTTAGATATTGGAACAATGCACAGTATTGTTTTTGGCCAAACCTTTGAATATTTCACAAATTTATTGTACTGTAATTCATCATAACTTTGACCTGGAAAACTGTGGATTAGAAGATAAATGTGTCAATTTTGTATGATAAAGTTAGAAGATGGAGAGGTCACCGTCTGCAGTTAGGTATCTGACTAGAGAAATTTGGATATGGACAGGTACAACAGACAGGAGAAGGATCAATAAATGAAAGGGAAAAAATCCCTCTGTTATTCTGCAAGTGCAGAATGAACTAACCTGGCTTTGACAGCATGTGCTATTGTGCTAATTTGTAATCCTTTTAGATCTTCTGGACAGAGAGGTGTTCTTACTGTGCAGGATGTAGTGTTAAATCGTGTGAAATTATTAACCAAGCTCTCTTCTAGAGCAAAGATAACTTCCAGTCTGTTTGCTAATTGTTGTGTTATTTTTCATAGGTTTTAAAAGGTCATAAGACATTCTTGAGTGCTGCTTACAATTGGGAATTCCTAATCTGGGAAACTGCCCTGCTCCTATTCTTGTTGCGTTTGGCATCGCTAGGCTCTGAAACCAACAAGAAATATAGTAATATTTCAATTCTGCTAACTGAACAGGTACTTTTGGATTCTTTGTACTATTTCTCTGACATTAGGACAGACCGATTAAGAAATATCTAAAAATAATAAGATAGAAGGTAAACACACATTTGCAGTTGTTAACTTTGTATTTATTGTGTTAAATATCCAGAGGCTGTCTTCTGGTGGTAGCAGATTCCTGAACTGTTCATAAAATATTAATTGCCCAACGTGTAAGTTTCAGTTTGTCAGTCTTGAAGAAAGGCATGTTTTAAAACTAAACATTGTAAGACAAAAATCAAGAAGTGGATAATAATTTTGTGGAGGCCTTTGCCTTATGTATGAATTACAACTCCAAGATACTAAGTTGTGGACTATTTTGGAGTGTAAGCAAATTTCAATAATGTAATTTTCAAAAATGCCTGTAGAAGCTAAAGCATGGGCACTGTTTGATGAAAATTGAAGACCGAACTGATTTTATTCAATGAATAGGTCTTTAGCAACCTGTATCTTATTTTCTTTCAATTTTCCCTTAGTCTAATAAAACAAATTTCCATAGTGTTATTTTTTTCCCCAAATTATTACTCAATTTTTTTGCTGTTGGTCAGGATTCTTAAAGTATATTTCAGCTAAAGGATACATCTAGGTTATATTTGGAAAATCTGTTCTCTAGAACCTGTTATCCTTTCAAGCTTAGGGGAAAAGCAACCATTGCCTTCTCCCCTTTCCAATGTGTTATATATTTCATGATCATACCGTTGTTATCAAGGTAGACAGTTTGACTTCGTATATGAGTATGTATAGTATTTGACTGTTCTATATTTTTTAAAAAGCATACCGTATTTTAGCTGTTGCTACAAAAAATGATGTAATTTATAAAAGTTGCTTTTGTTAATGTTTGTGCTAACTGTGTAGGGAATTTAAAGGAAAGTTTAATGGATATGCCATCCCTGCCATTACAAGGCAGACCTGGATTATTAAAATTGCATAATTTTAATAAACAATATTTAAATAATTCTCCTGCAGATAAACTTGTACTTAAAGATGGAAAAGAAACCAAACAAGAAAGAACAGCTCACACTAGTAAATAATGTCCTTAAACTCTCCACCAAACTCTTGAAGGTAAAAATAAATAATTTTAGCTTCTTTGCCTTTATTCTTCTGCTATATTTTTTTTTAAAAGATGTTGAATGATTTTTTATTATATGAAAGCAATACTGCTGCATTCTAATTCTGTTTCATAACCACAGGAGTTAGATACACCATTTAGACTATATGGATTGACAATGAATCCCTTGATCTATAATATTACACGAGTGGTGATCCTATCGGCAGTCTCTGGAGTTATAAGTGATTTGCTGGGCTTCAATATCAGAGTAAGTGTTGCTATGTACCTGTTGAGGATAGCTCAGTTATTTGTTTTTCTAGTGTTGTCTACATAAAGGCTATATTCTGTCTGCTCAACCACATGCAAAACAGTGTAATTGTGAAAATAAAAGAGTTACAGTGGGGCAAAAGTATTTAGTCAGCCACCAATTGTGCAAGTTCTCCCATTTAAAAAGATGAGAGAGGCGTGTAATTGAC